AGCAGAGGTGCCATAGGCACAATCAGAGAACACTGTATAAACATCAGAGGTCCACGGTTGTTCAACGTCCTCCCAGCAAGTATAAGAAATATTGCCGGAACAACCGTTGACATCTTCAAGAGGAAACTAGATTTATTCCTCCAAGGAGTGCCGGACCAACCGGGCTGTGGTGGGTATGTGGGCCTGCGAGCCGCTCCAAGCAACAGCCTAGTGGACCAAACTCTCACAAGTCAAGCCTGGCCTCGGGCCGGGCTTGGGGAGTAGAAGAATTCCCAGAACCCCATCAACCAGGTATCAACCAGATGTAGTGTGGGAGATCATGCCGCAGTTCCTGCTCACAGAGTTTGCACCTGGAGTGCTCAGGATTGGGAGATCCGTCACCTGTAGCCACCTGCCACAGGTAACGGTAGCCACCTGCCACAGGTAACGGTAGCCACCTGCCACTGGTAACGGTAACCCAACCTGATCCTGGCAACCACTGTGTCGCACAGTCTGGTCCACGTTTGGTGCTGCCCATAAACATAGGTTTCAGATCTGAACAAATAATAGCTTTTTCTTCACCTACTGGTATATAACTCTTGGTTTGCCACACACCATATTACCTGCCTGGCCCTGACTCACCTGCCTGGTCCTGCCTCACCTCCCTACCCTGCCTCACCTGCCTGGCCCTGCCTCACCTGCCTGGCCCTGCCTCACCTGCCTGGCCCTGTCTCACCTGCCTGGTCCTGCCTCACCTCCCTACCCTGCCTCACCTACCTGGCCCTGCCTCACCTGCCTGGCCCTGCCTCACCTGCCTGGCCCTGCCTCACCTTCCTACCCTGCCTCACCGAGGCCCAGGCTAGCCCCAGCTGGAGCCTGACACACAGTAGAGACATCACTAACCAAGTCGTCTCGCCTTTTAAAATCACCGTGAATAAGTACATCAGAGAGCATATCCCGTTTTCTTTGTTTAAGGCTTTAGTATTTTAAAGATTCATTCAAGAATGAATGAATGTTATGTTATTTGTCAAGTGCTGTGAGAGGTGTTTATATTTTAGTACACGACTGACCTTAAGAGACAATTCACAAGAGGTAAACTAAGATTTGTATCAAGATCAAATAAATAACATTAAGGAGGGCCAAGATTTAATGGAGGTGATAACGCAGTTTTATGCAAGTTTGTATTAAGATCCTACGAGAGCCTCACATGTCCAGCGTTACTCAGCTGTTGGACACCTGACAAGTTATGTTGGGCTGTTAATACTTTACTGACGAGTGTCGAGTGTTACTGACGAGTGTCGAGTGTTACTGACGAGTGTCGAGTGTACTGACGAGTGTTACTGACGAGAGTCGAGTGTTACTGACGAGTGTCGAGTGTACTGACGAGTGTTACTGACGAGTGTCGAGTGTTACTGACGAGTGTCGAGTGTTACTGACGAGTGTCGAGTGTTACTGACGAGTGTCGAGTGTTACTGACGAGTGTTACTGACGAGTGTCGAGTGTACTGACGAGTGTTACTGACGAGTGTCGAGTGTTACTGACGAGTGTCGAGTGTTACTGACGAGTGTCGAGTGTTACTGACGAGTGTCGAGTGTTACTGACGAGTGTTACTGACGAGTGTCGAGTGTTACTGACGAGTGTCGAGTGTTACTGACGAGTGTTACTGGCGAGTGTCGAGTGTTACTGACGAGTGTCGAGTGTTACTGACGAGTGTCGAGTGTTACTGACGAGTGTCGAGTGTTACTGACGAGTGTCGAGTGTTACTGACGAGTGTCGAGTGTTACTGACGAGTGTCGAGTGTACTGACGAGTGTTACTGACGAGTGTCGAGTGTTACTGACGAGTGTTACTGACGAGTGTCGAGTGTTACTGACGAGTGTCGAGTGTTACTGACGAGTGTCGAGTGTTACTGACGAGTGTCGAGTGTTACTGACGAGTGTTACTGACGAGTGTCGAGTGTACTGACGAGTGTCGAGTGTTACTGACGAGTGTCGAGTGTTACTGACGAGTGTCGAGTGTTACTGACGAGTGTTACTGACGGGTGTCGAGTGTTACTGACGAGTGTTACTGACGAGTGTTACTGACGAGTGTTACTGACGAGTGTCGAGTGTTACTGACGAGTGTTACTGACGAGTGTCGAGTGTTACTGACGAGTGTCGAGTGTTACTGACGAGTGTCGAGTGTTACTGACGAGTGTCGAGTGTTACTGACGAGTGTCGAGTGTTACTGACGAGTGTCGAGTGTTACTGACGAGTGTCGAGTGTACTGACGAGTGTTACTGACGAGTGTCGAGTGTTACTGACGAGTGTCGAGTGTTACTGACGAGTGTCGAGTGTACTGACGAGTGTTACTGACGAGTGTCGAGTGTTACTGACGAGTGTCGAGTGTTACTGACGAGTGTCGAGTGTTACTGACGAGTGTCGAGTGTACTGACGAGTGTTACTGACGAGTGTCGAGTGTTACTGACGAGTGTCGAGTGTTACTGACGAGCACACCAACTGGCTCCTTGTATGATAAATGGCTCAGTAAAACTGCCTACAATCTCACCCGACTGAACACACTAGTGAGTACTAGTGGCTCTACAAGAATGTAAACACATCATGCTATGTACTCGCATAAACCCAATGTAACTTCTTGTATATATAAATAAATAAAAGAATAAACATGCCTTATAGCCCGTATGGGCCAATAGGCCTTCTGCAGTTATCTTCATTCTTATACCCATTAAATGTAATCTGTCACTGATATCTATTTCTATCTGTACCCCACCATTCAGGCATCATACCACATACTTCACAAAGATAAAGAGATTCTTGATCTTAAAGCTGTGACATTACCTGTTGGTTCTGGAGATTCCCGGCCCTCTGGTAGGTGATCTAGTCAACTGTTGGACGTAGCTGCTCGCAGCTTAATGTATAAATCACAGACTGATGGATCACGTCTGCTTTGGAGGTAAACACTTGCCTCATCTATCAAAACTCTAAGATCTCACGAGTACTGTGTCTACACCGACGGCTCAGTCCAGTCTTCTACTGGACGGACTGCAGCAGCAGCATCCCTGGAAACACAAACCAAAACTGTCTCTCTTTTCCGCTTGTTACAACTTGTAATAAAGTTGTTACATCTTGGCTTAACGTGTTTATGACGTATTAGAACGTTGTTACAACCTACTATATTGGTTGTTATAACTGGTTAGGAGGTGTTAAAACTTGTTCGAACGTTGTACCAACGTCGTAGTTTCGGTGTGTGTTTGGCGGGTTGTAGGTTTTATAGAAATTATATTTGTACACAGACTGTCAGTGTCAGGTTAAACAAGTGGCTGACCTCCACACAAGCAGAACTAGCGGCACTACACCTAGCTACCAGTACATTACCTCCACACAAGCAGAACTAGCGGCACTACACCTAGCTACCAGTACATTACCTCCACACAAGCAGAACTAGCGGCACTACACCTAGCTACCAGTACATTACCTCCACACAAGCAGAACTAGCGGCACTACACCTAGCTACCAGTACATTACCTCCACACAAGCAGAACTAGCGGCACTACAACTACACACCAGGACGCAATTAAACACAAGAGGAAGAGTAATTTTCGGTGATTCAAAAGTCAAGTAATTGAAAACTCCTGGAAGATCGACAGCAAGATCCTTATAACAGCAATTATAAGTAATCTGTTGTACAGAGTAAAGGGTTTAGTATCTCTCTTGTATGGATACCGTCTTGTATGGATACCGTCTTGTATGGATACCATCTTGTATGGATACCATCTTGTATGGATACTATCTTGTATGGATACCATCTTGTATGGATACCATCTTGTATGGATACCATCTTGTATGGATACCATCTTGTATGGATACCGTCTTGTATGGATACCATCTTGTATGGATACTATCTTGTATGGATACATCCTGTATGGATACCATCATCTTGTATGGATACCGTCTTGTATGGATACGTCTTGTATGGATACCATCTTGTATAGATACTATCTTGTATGGATACCATATTGTATGGATACCGTCTTGTATGGATACCATCTTGTATGGATACCGTCTTGTATGGATACTATCTTGTATGGATACCATCTTGTATGGATACCATCTTGTATGGATACCGTCTTGTATGGATACCATCTTGTATGGATACTATCTTGTATGGATACCATCTTGTATAGATACTATCTTGTATGGATACCATCTTGTATGGATACCATCTTGTATGGATACCGTCTTGTATGGATACCATCTTGTATGGATACCATCTTGTATGGATACCATCTTGTATGGATACCATCTTGTATGGATACCATCTTGTATGGATACCATCTTGTATGGATACCATCTTGTATGGATACCATCTTGTATGGATACCGTCTTGTATGGATACCATCTTGTATGGATACCATCTTGTATGGATACCGTCTTGGTATCCATACCAACTTAGATACCGTGATGCTGGAGCGGCTAAGCAAAGTAATAACGGTATAATTTCTGCAAAAGTTCGACATTGTATAATTCTGATTAAGAACATGAGGAACAAAACAGTGAACAGTAACAAAACTCTGCCACTGTTGAGGACAAGTCAAGCCCAGGCGCCAGATTCACGAAGCAGTTACGCAAGCACTTACGAACCTGTCCATCTTTTTCTCAATCTTTGGCGGCTTTGTTTACAATTATTAAACAGTTAATGAGCTCCGAAGCACCTCATCATTGTGGTCAGAGGCGCCACTGGCGACAGTGTAGTACACACTTGGTCAACAGTGTCAACACACTGCTGACTGACTGACTGACCACATCACACTGTGACAACCGCCCCTCCCCCCCTCGCCTGCTCTGTAAACAAAGCATAATTTGAAGAATGTTAGGGATGGAGTGGTCGCGAGGGCGTGGGGGGGGGGGGTGTGAGAGGGGGGACTTCTTGTCGACATCCATTCTGGTCTCCCCTCGCTCTCTCCCCTCCCCCTGGCCTCTGTGAGCATCACGCCCCCTCGCCAGAACCCGCTCAGACACCCTCGGGGAAGGTTGCTGCACCACAGTCCTCCTGCACCACCAACACTGCAGCAACCTTGTTTTTTTTTGTATTTAAAACAACAAATCCGCAAGTATTGGCCGCCCGTCCACCTTGACGTGAGCGCAAGGTGTTCTTCCCAGACGGAGGCGGCGACCGCGGACACATCACAGCCGGGACTGGCACTGTGGCACTGTGGCGAGGGCTTCGTAGCGGCAGTTACCGTAGCGTCGCACCGTGACCACACCAACAGCAAAATTATTATACAGAAGACTCCAACAAAATTATGTGTGGTAGGAGTGGGCTCTATTGCACTTGATGTGGTGAGGTCAGCCACTTGTGCTACCTGTGTTGACGACTGGCTGGGGGCGTGGCGCCGCCTGAGGGCCGCCCAGCCATCACAGACGGCCTTGTGGGTGTTCCCGTTGATGCTGGTGTGAGCTCCGTCGGGCTGTGATGAGTGGCATCATCGAGCAGTGACCAGGAAGCCGTCAGTGTCATTACCACCTTTGGAGGTAAGTGGTGGTGTTGTTCACGTAACCGGGACCAGCGCTGGGGGAAGGGTGTTGTGGTATAGTGGCTGCCTTTGTGTAGTCAGCGACAGCCTCCAGTTTTTGAGACTCGGCGTTCGATCCCCGAGAGGCCAAGTGGTTGGGTACTATTCCTTCGCTCCTCTCCCAGCTTCTTGTCCTCATATCCCAAGTGCTGTAGTCTTGCTGACTTGGCACTTTCTCCTGATTATTACCTTACCTTTGTGTAGCCTCATCTGTCGGGTATTGTGTAACAGCAGAACACCCTGTTGGCAACGCTGGAAATGGAAGGTGCAGGTCTTGGGCAGTGTTGCCAGTGATTAATAGATTGTTGTATGGTTTAAAATTATCAGTGGTTTGTAGTAGGTAAACAGCATGTAAAGGATTTGGGAATAATGATGTCCGACGACCTAACGTTTAGGGAGCATAACCAAGCAAATATTGCGTCAGCCAGAAAAATGATAGGATGGATTACGAGAACTTTCACATCTAGGGATCCCATCACAATGGTTGTACTCTTCAAGTTACTTGTGTTGTCCCGTCTTAAATACTGCTCAGTACTCACTTCCTCCTTCAGAGCAGGAGAGATTGCTGTAATAAAGGGAATACAGAGAACATATACGGCATACATAGACGAGATAAAGCACCTAAATTATTGGGATCGTCTCAGAGCTCTCCAAATGTACTCACTAGAAAGGAAACGAGAGAGATATCAAATAATATACACGTGGAAAGTACGGGAGAGCCAGGTACCAAATCTACACAGTAAGATAACATACTGGAGTGAACGATATGGAAGAAAATGCAGAATAGAACCAGTGAAGAGCAGAGGTGCCATAGGCACAATCAGAGAACACTGTATAAACATCAGAGGTCCGCGGTTGTTCAACATTTTCCCAGCGAGCATAAAAATATTGCCGGAACAACCGTGGACATCTTCAAGATAAAACTAGATCATTTAAGAAGTGCCGGACCAACCGGGCTGTGGTGGATATGTGGGCCTGCGGGCCGCTCCAAGCACCAGCCTGGTGGACCAAACTCTTGGGCCGGGCTTGGGGAGTAGAAGAACTCCCATCAACTAGGTTAAAAAAGTAACCAAGAATTATTTGTCCGTGTACCACTTCCTTGTGTGGATGGACAGTATAATTTACCTCTGTCTTGGTGATGCGTGTGTGTGTCCATTACAATTCCTGAGAGGCCTACGCTTGTACTATTTTCGCCTCTAGAAAATATCGTCGACGGCCAGTGCACCCAAGATATCGTCGACGGCCAGTGCACATAAGATATCATCGACGGCCAGTGCACATAAGATACCGTCAACGGCCAGTGCACATAAGATATCGTCGACGGCCAGTGCACATAAGATACCGTCAACGGCCAGTGCACATAAGATATCGTCGATGGCCTGTGCACATAAGATACATAGCCTGCACATTATATTTACCTGTGATGCACTCAAAACAATCAGTAATGCACTCGATAGTCTATACTTTTTTCAGCCTTGGCCAAATTTCCCGTAAATCCAGTCTTTCAACAGGTGGGTTGGTTGGTGGTCCATGTGTACTGTGTATGTGGTGCTATTGGTGGTCCATGTGTACTGTGTATGTGGGGCTATTGGTGGTCCATGTGTACTGTATATGTGGTGCTATTGGTGGTCCATGTGTATTGTGTATGTGGGGCTATTGGTGGTCCATGTGTACTGTATATGTGGTGCTATTGGTGGTCCATGTGTATTGTGTATGTGGGGCTATTGGTGCTCCATGTGTACTGTGTATGTGGGGCTATTGGTGGTTCATGTGTACTGTGTATGTGGGGATATTGGTGGTCCATGTGTACTGTGTATGTGGGGCTATTGGTGGTCCATGTGTACTGTGTATGTGGGGCTATTGGTGCTGCATGTGTACTGTGTATGTGGGGCTATTGGTGGTCCATGTGTACTGTGTATGTGGGGCTATTGGTGTGTGTTGAGACGTAAGGTCGAAGGGGTGCCTATGCCCGCGAAGTCGAGCCAGAGGGAAAAAGGTGCCGTGTCTGGCCCCAAATAGATCGGTAGCTCCGTCAGTTCCTCGTCGTCTGAACCTCTGGCTAGTCCCTCCCACCACCACCACGGTCACCGCAGCCCCCGCGGAACACCCTGTGCTGAAGGAGTTCCCTGTGCTGAAGGAGTTCCCTGTACTGAAGGAGTTCCCTGTGCTGAAGGAGTTCCCTGTGCTGAAGGAGTTCCCTGTGCTGAAGGAGTTCCCTGTGCTGAAGGAGTTCCCTGTGCTGAAGGAGTTCCCTGTGCTGAAGGAGTCAGCACGCTCGCCTCGCCAGCGACAGCACTTGCGTTCCAACTCAGGTTAAGGTGGGACCATTTGGCCAAGGTTCGTTCACTTTCGCCTCTGTCCACCCGGAGACCCGGATGGCAACCATTGGTGGACCGCGGTCCGGGGGACGAGACTGTGCAGAATAATGTAATGGGCTCCACCGATACCTGACTAGAAACCTAATTACCAGCCTCCAACCACCATTACCACCCTAACCTCTATTTACACCCACGCCATAACCACCTATACCCGCTACCACAATCACCATTAGGCCGGGATTACAAGTACTAGCCTCCACCCTCCCCCCTTCATCAAGGGTATTACCACCACCCATCATTATTATCTTCAGTACAGACATCGCAGGAGTCTTCTCCCACCAGACAACTCACAAACAGCTGGACACACCAGGGACTGTCCCCACAGACAGCAGGTGTCGTCCCTCTCAGTGGACCACCAGCCCTGCTCGTGCACCAGCCCTGCTCGTGCGCCAGCCCTGCTCGTGCGCCAGCCCTGCTCGTGCACCAGCCCTGCTCGTGCACCAGCCCTGCTCGTGCACCAGCCCTGCTCGTGCACCAGCCCTGCTCGTGCACCAGCCCTGCTCGTGCACCAGCCCTGCTCGTGCACCAGCCCTGCTCGTGCACCAGCCCTGCTCGTGCACCAGCCCTGCTCGTGCACCAGCCCTGCTCGTGCACCAGCCCTGCTCGTGCACCAGCCCTGCTCGTGCACCAGCCCTACTCGTGCTCCGTGCTCCAGCCCTGCTCGTGCACCAGCCCTGCTCGTGCACCAGCCCTGCTCGTGCACCAGCCCTACTCGTGCACCAGCCCTGCTCGTGCACCAGCCCTGCTCGTGCACCAGCCCAGCTCGTGCACCAGCCCTGCTCGTGCACCAGCCCTGCTCGTGCACCAGCCCTGCTCGTGCACCAGCCCTGCTCGTGCACCAGCCCTGCTCGTGCACCAGCCCTACTCGTGCTCCAGCCCTGCTCGTGCACCAGCCCTGCTCGTGCACCAGCCCTACTCGTGCTCCAGCCCTGCTCGTGCACCAGCCCTACTCGTGCACCAGCCCTGCTCGTGCACCAGGGACGCGGGGACTCCCAGGTGGGTTGGGCTGCCCTGACAGTGGTGACACAGGTGCATCTTAGTGACCTTTCCAGAGGTGTTTATCCAGACGAGGCTGATCTCGCAAGGGGGGCTAGATTCACGAAGAAGTTACGCAAGCACTTACGAACCTGTACATCTTTTCTCAATCTTTTGGCGGCTTTGTTTACAATTATTAAACAGTTAATGAGCTCCGAAGCACCAGGAGGCTGTTTATAACAATAACAACAGTTGATTGGCAAGTTTTCATGCTTGTAAACTGTTTAATAAATATCACCAAAGCCGTCAAAGATTGAGGAAAGATGTACACGTTCGTAAGTACTTGCGTAACTGCTTCGTGAATCTGGCCCCAGACCCGCTCGTCTGTAGGCGCTCGCTGAGCAATGCTTATAGAACTTTTCTTCAGCTGTGGAGGACAACCTCACCAACTGCGTGATAAACACGGACGAAAACGTAACAGACAGAATCTTTAAACCAGCTGTGGCAGATGTCTGAACCAGCTGTGACACAGGCGTAGGCTGTTGAAACCAGTAGGCATGGCAGGATGTGCAGAACAGCCCCATGGAAATGCAGAGATACGATAGGAACGCTGAGAGAGAACTCTTATCAACGTCAGAGGCCCAAGACTTCTCAACACTCTCCTGCTTCACACAGATGCCGCCCTCTCACGGTGTTCAAGAGAGAGAGAAACGCCTCCAAAGGATACCTGATCAACTAGGCTGTGAATCATACGTCAGGTTGCGAGCAGCCGCGTCCAACAACCTGGTTGATCAGACGACAAACCATGAGGCCTGGTCAGAGACTGGGCCGCGGGACCGTTGATCCCAGGAACCTAGCCACAAGGTAGGCCTGAGCCAGCCCGTGGCAGAGGTATGATCCACGTGGCTTCTTGCAAGATGGTAAAATTAGACGTGAACCTCCCGACCAGCGCTGAAATATTCACGGGGGACTGTCTGGTCTGCCTCCGTCGTCATGGGTCTGGTGACCTTACCTGTCTGTCTGTCTGCCATTTTTTGTCTGTCTCGCCAGTCTTCTTTGATTCACCGCGTGTCTGTCTTTTTCTTGCTCGTCTGGCAAGATTATCCATCCGTCTGCTACTTAACGGTCAACCTTTTTCTGTACCAGGCTATTTTTGTGTCCATTGATCGGAAGGGAGTAGCGTCCCCCGGTCTGTTAATTATTCGCGTTAAACCTGATGAAAGTTAAATATTTGTCGTTCCAAAGGCTGTATTAACCCGATAGGAGTTCACGATGGACCGAAACGTCGTCACTGTAAAGTTCCTTTCGTGAGAGGTTCGGCTATTTGTTTCAGGGACCTTATTGTGGCCTGTGTTGTACATAGGCTTCGCGGACACATGTATCTGAACCAGGGAAGCCCTCAGGGCGCTGTATGTGTCTTGGGTGGGATCCATATTTGAGTGTGCAGCCCCGATGTGGAGTCCCTACCTGAAGAAGTATTAATTGAAGGTGTTATTGTGGCTAGTTCTGGCTAGTGTTAGTAGTTCTGGCTGGCCTGTGGCTAGTGAGGCTAGTTCTTGAGCTAAGATGTGTTGGCTGGGGTTAAAACTTAGGTTACGGAATTCTT